TTATCGAAAGGTCAATTCAAGAACGATAAACATAAATCTGCTATATACATACTATTTTTCATGTAATCATTATAAAAACCAATAAATAATGAAGTAACTTTTGCTAACTTACGTTTTTTACATCCAGGTCCAAACCACAAGCATGTACACGTCGTTCTCTATATGTATTTTATATCTTTTTTGCTTTATCTAAACTTCCGTTCTCATCATTCTCTATCTCTAAACGATATACATTTTCATTCGCTCTCTCTCTTCTCCTACCTACCTTGCAAAAGCTGCATATCCCTCTTCTTCTTCTTCTTCTCTCTTCTTTTTTTTACTGCAGCGTCTGTCTGTATATACGTTTTTTTGTCATCGAATCAGTGGCTGTCGATGTTGATCATATATATATATATATACATTTATGTTACACAAGTACATAAATTCGAGGGTCATCAAATGTTCATTCTTGTGTAAAAATTTAATTATTAAAAGAACATACTATACTACATCGAAGGAATCCATAAGAAAAATGCTGAGGAGACTCGCCCATATACATACATTTATAGCGAAAATTCTAATCATATTCGTTAGTTGTGAATCGAGCGATATCGATCAGTTTTTCTTTGACGATACATATTTCTCTATATGATACTATCTAGAAATCATTCTTTTCATTTTACATACCATAGTCAATTGAAGTGAAAGAATTGATCATTTCCTTAATGCATAACGTGTTTCTTTCTTTCTCTCTTATTCTCTGTTTACTTGATAATCGATTGTTCAAGGTTAAAAAGACGTTATCTCTCTTTTCTCTTTTGTATGTGGAGATGTGATGAGAAAACCTGAACGATGCTCATTCATTGACATGAATAGCACATAGACACTTGAAAGAAACGAATCTTCTTCGTATTGTTCAATGTACTATGCATATATTATCATCCTGATCGTTTACCAATTTCAAGTACGAATTAGGCATGCTTATGAGATGCTACTGTTGTACACTATACACTTGAGAAAAGAAAGGAAGAAAGCATACAGTCTGTTAATTCTTACTCTGCATTTCATACTTGAAAAGCCTTATTAAAAAATAAAGCTGAAATCGAACGATGTAGCAAAGCTTGTGATTCATCTTTGACTTCTACTATATGTGTATGTTCAATATAAAAAGTCGGTTATTCAAGGAATGTGAAGTGATGATGGTTGTGTCAGCGATACCATTAGTAATATAGCAAAGAAGTGGGATATTCTTATCAATACTCACTCGTATACCAAATATAGGAATATCACACCATGTCAACCCATCGATTGCAATTCGAAGAACGTGTGATGTTAGTAATGCCATGTGTACAGCTGTAGATTGGTGTCATTGTCGTGAATTGATCAAGGTTCAGTTAATATTGAATTTTCGATGTTCCTCCACTTCCAATGGCACAGACTGATAGTTGGAGAACGTATGTCGAAGTCTACGGTGATAGAAGCTATAGAAAGTCATAATGATGTGTAATATTTGTTAGTTTAAAACTGCGCACAAAAAACATGAGATTTAATAAAAGATCGTTTTCAATGATATAGTGGATCAATATTTGATTCCAAAGAAAAAAGAAGTACAATATATAGACATTATTCATCCTTGAGTTATTGTCAGGTGTCAAGAGAAAACCGACACTAATATGTTGTTGCATTCGACTTACATGAGTATAATTGAATGTTTATGTAACAATTAATCTTCTATTAGAAAGAAAAGAAACAAGAATGTTGTGTTCATTGTCATGCATAGCTTAGAAATGATTGATTTCCTTTGCTTCTCAATGAGAAAATATGGCATTTGTGTATCTGAGTAAAGAAACCATGAGAAATCGATTGACATTGATGAACGTGTATATGTTCTCAATTAATTGACCATGAACACTCCACTTCATTCATCAAGCATACATTATTGAACAGTGTCTCGAGAGTTTCAATTTGTATTTGCGCAAAGCAACCGAAGAAGAAAAACAAGAACAGAGGAATATTGACCGAAGACAAGACAGACAAGCGAGTAAACATGACAGAGTATCAAAATTTATCAAAAAAGAATTTGAACACAAAGGAATGAAACTTATCAGCCACCACCATTGCCTCCGCCAGCTCCCGGACCACCTGCATCCTGAGTGAAAGCACTTTGAAGAACCATGATAATAACAACTGGAACTATATACTTCCACTAGAAATGAACAAAGAATGTCAAGTGTACTTTTTCATCTCGCAATGTATTTCTACTCACATATTTGAGAATAAATGGTCGATTATCAGCTTCTTGAGCGTTTAATTTTGCCTCCTGTTGTCGTTTGAGTTTTTCCAGGAAGCGTTGCGTATCAGGCCTAGAAACAAAACGAGATAAATATTCAATTTTGAATCGATCTCTTCCATTTACTGAGGTCCAATTTCATTCAATTGAAAGCGCATTGACACTTTATAGTTATACTCCGATTTCTTCTCGATTTCACTCAGATGTGGAAGACTACACGTTGAATTTCCCGTGTTGGTTTGTGCGCTCACAACATAACCATTTTCATTGACATACAACGTGACAGTATACCGAAATTGTGTTTGTAAAACAAGACACTGGAAAATATGAAAACTAATTTGAGAAAATTCAACGAAAAGATTTACCATTGGAATCGATGTCATGACATAATCTTGTATTGTACCACGTTTAAAATGAACTTTCAAAGTATAATAAGGATAGTCACTTCTGAAGTCCACTAATCGATCAAATTGCCCGGATGAGATCGTTCGTGATGGTGTCAGTTCTGCCTCCGTTTGACGAGAAAGTTGAACATTGATTTTCGAAAACGACGAAAATTTTCCATCTAAATTTAATAAATACATTGAAAATTTAGCTTCACATCAGAATTCACCTATATTATCTTCGAAGTTTAACGACACAAAACCATCGTTTCCATCATCCAGTGTCTGAAGAGAAAAAAAAGCCAAAAACATGGCGAGGTCTTCTTTCTGAAACTTTTTCTTTGTACGTACTGAAATTGCATAGAATTGTACGATTAAAATAATGAAACCAACAATGAGATTTTTTTGTTCGAACATCATCCTCAAATGTGATGATAATGAGAAAAAAAATATACAAATAATGTCCAATGATTTCCATTCGATAGCGTATCTACCAATCAACAGACACTTCAATTAAGGTCTGTGTTGTTTTCTGATAAAGAAGAGAATACATTTACTAAAGATGGATTTAGACAATGAATTCGCCGGTAAAACGGTCATCGTAGGAAATAAGGTATGTAGAAGATTTCTTGAAACATGTGATTTCTATTGTGAATTGATATAGACATATGAACTGGACAAACTTTCACCTGAAGAACGCTTCCGCGTTCGACATGAAGCCGTTCATGAAAAACACAAAGGACATGAATCTATGCACATGGAAATGGTACTTGTCTTACTTCTTTCACTTGTTATTTGTCAATTTATAATCTTATTCTGGAAAAATTATCATCTCAAATCTTTTCAAGTAAAACATCATTGAAACTGTTCATGTAAATATATGATTGTTAAAACTTCTTTTGCAGTTTTTCACAATGATTGCAATGTGGTTAATTCCATTCGGCTTGTCGATCAAATTCCATTATTTTCGTTTTATTGTTATTTGGATTTGTTTCACATTTATCACTACTTATGTCACTCGACGAGCGACACGACAACCAATTGAGCCAAACACACCACGGTAATCGAAACAGAAAACGAGATAATTGTCTAAACTAAATGTAACATCTTGTCATCAAAATTGTAGATTAGTTTATAAATGGTTCCTCTTGGTTTTCAAAGTTTCTTATGGTATGGCAATCGCTGGATATTTTCTGATTATGATGACTTTTCTTGGGATTAATAATCTTTTCTTAATACCTGCTCAAGTAACGTCCAGAAGATGTCTCTTTTAAGACTGAGAGTTTTCTTTTCAGAGTGCGTTAGATTTCGGAATTTTAATCATGTTCTATGGCATTTACTATGGTGTACTCGGGAGAGACATGGCAGAATCGTGTACGGATCGAATGGCGTCAAAGATTGGAGTAATTTTACATTGAATAATTTGAAAAAAAAAAGAATTTTTTGATGTATTTAGTACTACTCAGAAAGTGGCTTACCAAAACGAGCATTAGAATCGAATATGTGTGCGGTTTGTGCTAATCCAATAATAGTACAAAATAATGAAGAAGCTCTCATTGAACGAACATATAAATTACAATGTGGCCATACGTAATTACATTTGAGCGATAAGACAAATGATTTCAAATGTTGTTTTTATGAATAGATTTCATGAATTTTGTATTCGTGGTTGGTGTATTGTCGGAAAGAAACAAACGTGTCCTTATTGTAAAGAAAAAGTCGACTTAAAACGATTATTTCCCAATCCCTGGGAGGTACGATGATTGCCTGTTGTTACATTAGTGAAAATCTTGCTTTTCATTTCTTAGAAACCTCATGTTTTGTATGGAAATCTTCTTGATTGGGTTCGATATCTAGTGGCATGGCAACCATTGATATTATTACTTGTGCAAGGTGTCAATTATGTTCTTGGCCTTGAATAGGAGAGCAAAGTGAATTTGCTCAGTTTTATTTCTTCATTTTGTTAGTCAATTCGAACACGTTCAATAGACAATCTTCACAGAGCACATTCGATTTTTATGTTTTGTTGTTTTCCATTTTGTATTGTCCTATACATTTAACATATTTACACAAATATAAACCTGATGTTACGAAGTAGTCTGTGAAAATCTTTGCCCTGTGTCGAAAGAAAAACGAGGCGACGCTCAAGGGTGAACGGATGATTGATTTTTCGATACGACGATAGATTAGACGACTGATTCGTCTAGAAAGACACACGCCATATTGTACAGTTTATATACCTATTTTCTAGATAGATAAGTAATTAGTTCGTCAGTCAATTTTCACGCTCGAACAGCTTTCAACAATGACAGATTTCACTGAGATTTCTTCTGTAAGCTTGATCGAATATGAAGTCAGTCGATGTGTGTTTCACAACGAAAGTTTCAAGTAAATTCGCATGTGAACTTCTTCTCGAGAACTTTTTTCTTGTTGTACATCACAGGGATGAGCAGCTAGATACAATTATAATTAATCTGATCAAATCATGTGGTTTCAAAGGTGAATAACAAAAATGTTTATCAATTCTGATGTTCGTAATTTTTCACCGTAGATTCTAATCCGGATTGTATATGTGTCCTTCGAACATGTTTATTCGACGTTTATCAAGATCTTCTAATGCGATTAAAACAACATATGGAATCACTGGGCTCGTCAGTCACATTTCAAGATGCTTTCGAACGAACATTAGACGAAGTACTGTCCAGCAATCTACGAGAATTGTATTGCTACATGAAACGCGAACATTGATTTATTTGATGAGTCGATATTTGTCTTAAATGACATATTTGTACTTTTTGTGTAATAAATTTAGTATGAGGAATTTATACTTTTCAAGGCTTTCATGATGATATAATGAAGGTCTTGACGAGGGAGACTGTCGAAGAAAAAGCTCGCATTAAGGTGAATCATTTTTATCATGTTTATGCAATCAATGACACAGTTACCTTGATTTTGTCATTCGAACACAGCGAAGTTAACAGTAAGTTTTGTTTTATCTCGGAAATTGAAATTCAAACAAATAAATTCACACTGCTTTGTTTTTTCCTTTTATGATTCATACTATTTTCAAAGAAAACAAAATCTGTCATTGGTCAGGAGAGGAGGTACATTGATTTCATTTAGGGAAATATACTTTCGACAGAATACTTATCTAAACCTGTTTAATCATTTGATAGATACAAATTTGAGTTACAATTTTTTTACTAAGGAAACATTTGTAAGCTAGTGGAAAAATCCAATAAATCTATTCTTTTTGTCTTGATAGACGATAATACCAAAACACGTGTCAAAAGTAAATAGGGCAAGTAACTGGTGTACTTGTATTTCATTTTTCGCTTTCACACGAAGCAGAAGGGTTATTATCGAAACAAAACGATGACGTCAAACGAAGTCAGCGTTGCAAATGTTCAATTACCGATCACAATTTCATCGTTTACTAAACATAGCATACACCTGTACATTCTACGTAGTACAACAATCGATGAGACGTTCAAAATCAGAGCTTTCTTAAACAACGAATACAAATATACATTTCGTCGAATCGAATCTTTTAATGAACAAGAACGCACTGGTCCATATATTTATCGAGCGGATGTGGATCTATATCTCGATACACAAGATCGTCCGCATATTAAACTTGAAAATGGTCAAGTACCCATTTTCAGTTATCGCATACGTCTCTCTCGGAAAATTCCTCATTCGGATACAACATTCCGTGATTATAATGATGACAAAGAACGAACGTTCGAGAATCTTCGTACAACTGTTCATTATTTCCTATTCGACGTTCATTTTACCAAGAACATTGTCGATGCCGCACCTGGTAAGGGTCGATTTTGACATTTACACACTGATAAATTTGCACTTTTAGGGAGTAACGTATCCTTTTGGAGTCAATTGTGTTTATATACTTACTACATTCTTCGCCATCAGATTTATCCAACGTTCAGAGTCTTAACTGAACAATTCATTAGAAGTGCCCAAGAAGATAAACGTAAATTAGTCACAGCAGATGTCAATGAAATTTTTCAAGATTGTTTTACCTATTCGCTTTATGCTTTGTCAGTAGAAGCAAGAGAAGGCGTCGTGAATAAAATCATTATTTGTATGATGGGAATTCTGCCGATTGCAAAGTCAAATTTCGATGTAAAAAGTCATTTTACCGTCAACTTTACTTTGGCAATGACTGGAACATTACGAGAACATTTCGATAAAGTCTTTGCAACGGTTAACCAAGACGAATGGCCGTTGTTTCGTGATGGTCTGGTTTTGTTTATGTCCATTGAGTTCTTAATCAAAGCGGGCGACACGATGACACTGATTCATCGGATGAAAAATGAACAATGCAAAAAAGATCTTGCAAATGTCTTATTGCAACGCCTGGAAGAATTACAAAGACCAATAATTGGTTTGAATTGGACTGATTTGTTTGCACTCGTGGATCAAAATATTCTCACTTTAAAACAAATTGAATTGACTGAATCAATTCCGATCTATATCACTTCATTAATACAAATTTTGGAAATCGAGAAAAATAGCAGCACACTTCAGGATCAGGTCATTCGACAATTCGACAATCTGATATTTGAAAGTCGTTTATCCGGTAAAACATCGTCGTTCTCTTTTATCTGAATTCAGCACGATCTATTTTTAGTTAACCTGGATAGCATCATTTTCTTACTCAATTTCTCCCAAGTGGATACCGCAGAATCGAGTGAAGTAGAGAAGGAAATTCTTCTAGTAGTGAATAGAGCAATTGAAAGTAGCATTCAATTGCGTGCAAGGATCAAGGATTATTTATACTCATTGACTATTACAACACAACACTTCCGTGATATTCATTTGATTGTTTCATCTATTTCCAAATCCATTATCCTGTACCTAATCAAAAAGCGAGATTTGTTAATGCATTTATTCTCCCATGCTCATACCTCGTATTCATATGAGTTTTTCAAACAATGGTGTCTTTCATTTCTGATATTTGATGATCCGATAAATGATCAAAATAATCAAGATTACAAAGATCTATTGAAACAATGGCTGAACCAAGTCAATCGAAATCCTGATATAAAAATGAAAATCATCATGGATGTTGATACATTCATAAATGCATTTGTAAATGAACACCACTATCGATTAATTTTCATTGAACATATGATCACTTTTTGTTTTCAGCAAGGTTCGCTTCAATTCACTTTCGTTTTCCCATCGAACCCATTTGTTTATTTTAGCATCAATCTACACTGTCATATCTGGATCATTGATCCACGTCCGCAATGAACTATTTCTCAATCAATTTAGGAAATATTTCGCATCTACACAATTAGTCATTTCTCAAGAGAAATTGAAACAATTACAGAACCCACTGAATCCCTTGTATCATCTCATTCGAATCTATACACAAGTGAAAGGTCAAAGTGCATTGATAAATGAACTGATACAACTAACAAGTAGACAAATTAAATTTGAAGTCAATGAAATCTTACGGGACACATTCGAACGTCCGACTCGTACGGCCTGTGTTTACGCCGTTCTATTTGATAATTGTTTTGAAAATACAACTTTACGGCAGATGATCATCGATCAACTTCTTGCACTGTGGAATTCTTGGGAAGAGGAAGGTTTTCGCGCAAATCAACTACAAAACTGGAAGAAATTTACGAATGAGGAACGTCAAATAGTCAAGCGAATATGGGATTACGTGGGAGAAAAGGCCGAAAAGCAATACCAAATCGATTCATTAATCGATCGACAAGGACGAGAAATGGAAGAGAAAATCCAAATTAAAGAAAAAATTATCAAATGTCTAGAAATCTACTGTGAACATGCATGTGATAAGGAAATCTTTTTCAATCTATTAGCTGAAATCGACGATCAACTAAGATCCAGAGTTGTTCGTTCTATTAGAATTTCCGAAGAAATTCAAACACTTGTACCCTTAGCCGAGCGACTCAATCCGCTTGAAAAACTTCATGCTTGGCAAACATTCTTAGCCAAACATCAGAAAAGTAAACAGCAAACTTTCACAACATAACATATCTATATTTGAATGTATTTCAAGTTGCTGCTCGAAATCGATCGTCGCCAACGACCACAGATAGTGCTTCGAGCTGTGCAAGCGACGATGAAACGTTATCACCTGATGAAAGTAAGCAAATCTTTTCGTGACTTTGATTTGAAGAAGAGTAAAGACTTCACATCGACCGATCTCCTTGATGATCGCAATTAAATGCGTCAAGATGCTTGCTCGATTGCATCCAGACAGTCGAAAGATTCTAATCAAATCGGAATAACATTGAGAAGAATCACGATGTTATGACGACATTCATGATACGAATCACTGACTCATAGAATTGCATTGAAATTGAAACTTTATTCATACAACTTCTCGTATTTAGGAACAACATTAGACAAAGAGGCAATCACAAATGATCTACCCAGTTCACCTCCGCCAATCCGATCGAATTCTAGAAACTACTTTGCGGTTGATCGCCGTACTTGTATCGAAATTTTAACGGAATGCATTGATATTCTCGACATATTCGGCGACTGTTTGAAAACAATCTGCAGCAATTGGACTCGCTTACCATTATCGGAGCTATTAAACTTCTTTCCTGATCTGCAATATATCGATCATGATTTTGCAATTCTCAAGCCACTTTTACAGCCCGATATTTCTGATAAACTCAAATCTATCTTAGATTATTGGAAGAACCGTGAACATATTCATCACATATGCCGTGGTTACATAAACCTCATCAGCAATCTTCAAAAGCCGGCCGATACACTCTGTGAACATCTTCGAAAGATTACCGAACTTCATCATAAAAGTCAATGTTTTAAATGTTGGACACATTATCAATATTACCTTTCGAAATTTTCTGCTCAATGTTCAAAAGAATTCCTTGATTTTCTTTCTCAGTACAGTGTATCCTACGACTTAATTGCATTCTTAAATCTTCTTCCATCAACTGATGTCGATAATTTATTACAAGCAGTGAATGATTGGGATGAAATTCTAATCAATACTCGAACGGTGTTGGATTTCGTGATGTTAAAGCGATTTTTTGTTTTGTTTAACCAAGAAATTAGTCCAACCGATGCCACTATCGAACAAGCACAGGCAGCGTTCCTCAAAATTTTCGAAAATGAACAATTCAAAAGTCTCAATCTGTTCAGTTGTTTTCAAACATGCTCCGCGTCATTGCCCAGTATCAAACGTATACATTTAGAATTGACCGATAAAGAATTATCGAAACGAACACACATATCCGATTTGATGCGAAAGATTACATTTCATTTTACAGTTCAAGCAAATAGATTCGACATTGATGTTCAACCGCAATCAATGGGTTTTAGTGATTTAAGTGAATTACGTGATCGAGCACGGCTAATCGAATATTCAACAAATAAAAAGAATCAATTTCTTGTCGATGTCGATCGTGACATCAAAGAACGTCGTGCATTTGTAGAATTCGTTGAAACAGTCGAAAAAATTCTCAAGAACTTCTCCTCATTAAACATCGCTGGTCATCCGTCAGTCGTTGATTATCTTGCACCGAACAGATCCTTCACCTGTGTCAATTGTAATTACCAAGAATTGACCGAATTCAGTATTCAATTGGACACTCTTTTGGAATCATGGCAAACTGATCTCTGTCAAATGTATGAAAAACATCTGGATTTGACTTATTTTTCACATCAACAAATTTGGGTTATTGAAGATTATCTCTACAATCGAACCGAGCCTCTAACGACGAAGCATGCCGGGTATCATTTATTGAAATATATCGGAATCGAGCCGAATACCATCCGTTCAGAATATTTACCTGTTAAAGGCAATAATCCCACGGAACGTTTGAAAAATATCGGTAAAATTTTAACAGCACAGCGAACGAAGATGGATTTGAGTGTAAAACAAGAAAGTATCAATATCAAAAAAGTCTATGTGGCCGAGACATCCAACGAAGGAATTTTACGGACCATACTGTCCTTATTTAAAATAACTGAAACGCCATGTTTGGTAAATCATCTCTTCTATTGTGCAGAAGAAACCAGCTGGATGGAAATGCGTGCATTTGCTTACCGTTGTTTCTATTCTCAACAACTGCATCAATTAATTCGGCCAGAATTGTTATCATCATCGATTCAAGATCGTTTTACGCGTTTAATCAAGCAATTTATGGAAGAAAATCCTCAACGTTATTTTCGTTTAGGTCTGATTACAACTGTTTCAAGTACGCACTTGCAACTCATCAATGGTCTACGAACATTGCAGATCGTGCTCACAATTCACGATCAAGATATGTTGAATGAACTTGGTTTAAAGGAAATTATTCAAAAATCGATCGATGAGAATTGTACCTTAGTCACATCGAGAATCAATGGTTTAGGTAAAACAAGTTTGATTCAAAATGAAATTCGAAAGAAAGGCAAAATTTACATCAAATTTCCTATCAGTGGTGATATTGACGTTGATAACATTGCTGAACGACTGTGTAATTATGGCAACCAATTAACATCAGCGAGAGCAGCTTTACATATTGACATCGGAGCAATTAACAATATGAAACAATTGAATGAACTCCTTTATTGTCTACTACTCTTTCGAGGTTTTCGTTTTAAACAAATTGCGGTTTATGTACCGATTGATATACCCATTTATATTGAACTTGATTCTTCACCCGCTCCGATCGATATTCGTGAGAAAGTTGTTTTATTGAAATTCATCAAAACAAATCATATCGAACACATCGATTGGAATACATTCAGAATTCATGATCCATCAGCTGTACGATTAATCATCAGATATCTTCAAGCCATCGACGATGGAACCATTCGAGAACATTGCATTACTGAAGATCCGAACATTGATATCGATCTATTAAAAGGTATCAATCGGTTGAAGGCAACTTTTCTATTAGGCAAAGACTTGGAATATATCACTTGGACGAAGTTGTCAATTTTTATTTCCGTTTATTATCGTTTATTTTCGGGATTTTCACGATGTGGCTATTTCTTTCCTGATTTAATACCAGAGCCACAATTACGTTTAGATATTCTTCAAAGTTTTCTCAAGTCATCGAATCAATTCACATCGATGTGCGTTGAACGTGTACGGAAAAACCAACGTTCAGTGAGTACAAATGATGCTGCTGTTTCATTCAGCGAAGCCATTGTGTCTTGGGACGATACAGAACCATTTACAGTTGTCTTTTCGGCAACTAACGATCCGCTATTCATATACAAACAGCCTACTGATGTTCCCCAATCTCTGGTGAGAACATTTCAATTATACATGGAAGAGACCACAAATCAAAAGAACTTGAAGTTAACGGACGTTTTTCCGGATTACAATCATTTCACGCATGTTCAATTCTTTCTGAAACTCGCATCCTTATCAAAGAAATATTTTTACAAAGCGATATGTACGAAATGTTACAGTCAATATGAATATAATTCTTTACCATATTGCACGAAATGCAACATAAGCGATACATTGTTTCGTCCGTTTTCGTCGCAAACCGAGGATATTATTAAATTTCAAGAAAAAATAGCAGCTCAGATTCAACAGGAATATGTACTGACACCGGATAATTACTTGAAAATGTTGTTGATCTATTTGCGAGTAGAAAGTGGCCTTCCGGTATTGATCATGGGAGAGACAGGTAATGAACTTCAACAATAAGAAGTAATTTTATTTTGTCTCTTGTGTTTTAGGTTGTGGTAAAACTGCATTAATTCAGTTCTTATGTCAAAAAATTCTCGATGACGAAATTGAAATCTTTCGTATTCATGCAGGTGTAACAAGTGAGCAAATTATTGAAACAATTGGAAAACTGTCCGACAAAGCTCTTCAATGCCGTGCACAAAACAAACGTCTATGGGTGTTTCTCGATGAATTCAACACAACGCCTAATATTGGTTTGATCAAAGAAATAACCTGTGAACGAACATTACTTGGTAAACCTATTCCGGAAAACATGGTTCTTCTAGGTGCCTGCAATCCTCAACGACGAAAAGAAGTGGATAAAAATGTGAATATCAACATTGGTATCAAAAAAGATGTCTATGAAATGCAGCGATTGAAAGATGCTTGTGGAATTTCACTTTTATACACAGTCGTGCCAATTCCTGAAACTATGTTAGAATATGTTTGGGATTACGGTTATCTCAGTGACTCAGTTGAAAGGGAATATATACGAACGATGTTGAATACGTGTAAAAGTCTAACCAAAGATCGCAATCTGTTCAATTTAACTGTGGAAGCCATATCTGTTTCTCAGAAGTTCTTTCGTCAACATGAAGACGTCAGTAGCGTTTCATTACGTGATGTCGCACGATTTTGTCGTTTATACAATTGGTTTCAACAATCTATTATTGATCGAGAAGGAGCAGATAAATTTACTGATAAATTGTCTTCTCTTCTCGAGCGTTCGAGTTTAATGGCACTTGTACTCTGCTATTATTTTCGTCTTAGTTCGCCCGACGAGCGAAAAAAATACACCAACCAAATGGAAGAAACTTTGAAATCTGTTTTGAAGGATCGATCGCATATCTCGAATTATTTAGTGAAACTTCTTGATATCGAACAAAAGAAATTAATCGATCGGATGAAATTACCACCTGGTACAGCTAAAAATCGCGCACTCAAAGATAATATCTTTGTTCTGCTGATTTCGATCGTCAATCGTATTCCTGTGATTATTTGCGGTAAACCAGGTTGTAGCAAAACATCAGCGGTACAAATTGTCATTAGTAATTTGAAAGGAAACAAATCAACTGATCCATATTTTCAAACATTACCAGAATTGGTCACCGTTTCGTATCAAGGATCACAAAATTGTACATCAGAAAGTATTATCAAAGTCTTTCAACGCGCTGATAAGTATCTAAATGCCAAATCTAATGCGAATATTTTACCCGTAATTGTCTTCGATGAAATTGGTCTTGCTGAATTATCACCACATAATCCACTGAAAGTCCTCCACAGTAAATTGGAAGTCGAAACATGTCAATACGGCTTTGTGGGTTTATCCAATTGGCGACTTGATGCATCGAAAATGAATCGTGCTCTTTATCTTTCATGTCCTGATCCTGATATAGAAGATTTAACTCTAACAGCAAAAACGATTTTCGATGCTCTGGTACCGTCCGATGGGCAGATAGCACGAATTGATCCATCGATTATTGAAGCACTTGCTATTGCTTACAATAAATTGTATACGTTTTTTACAACACACGTAGAACAGCAAAATAATGCTAATTACTTTGGTCTACGTGATTTCTATTCGTTGATCAAAGGTGTTGTTAATGATTTAATTAAAAGTACGGATGATGATCAATCGTATCAGTATATTCGTCAACAATTGATTATCAATTTCGATGGTGTTTATGATGCTTCACAATTTCTATGGAATCGCTTCTGTGAACATCTTAATCGTACACACCTCATTGAGCAATATCGATCGCCATCATTCAAACAGTTACTCGACCTAAGATTAACCTCTCGTCAAGGACGTTATCTAATGCTAATCGCTGAAAACGAAGGTGTCATTGATTATGTGGAACGATATATCATTGTTAAACATCAACTGCTACCCGTACGAACATTAATTGGAAGTTGTTTTTCGGGAGATTTCGTTTCCGGAACGACTTATACTGAAAAATATAATCATCGAGTCTTGATGGATATTATACTCTACGCGGAAACTAATGTTACATTAGTTATGCGTCGCATGGGACATTTGTATGATAATCTATATGATTTATTTAATCAAAATTTCGCGGTGTCTGGAACGAAGAAATATTGTCGAATTGCTCTCGGTGCACTCTATCACCCTCACTGTCTTGTTAATGATGACTTTTACTGTGTTGTTTTCGTTCGACGAGAAGACTTGAACAAATGTGATCCACCATTTTTGAATCGTTTCGAAAAGCACATCATTGATATGAAGTCATTAGTTCATGAACGACATTGGTCGGTTAATGATCAACTTCTCAATGAATTACTCAGTCTACGTCCAACGAATATGAATAAATACTTTCCATTATTACAACACCTGTTTGTCGATTACAGTAACGATTATTTGTGTAATTTAGTCATTGATGCATTTAATTATTTAAATCTCTCAGTTGATGACGAAACCAATACAGATGAAATCATCAGTTATTGTAAAGAGAAACTAATCCGAACGAGTTCATTTGATTTACCTATTGTACTTTCACTGCAAGGAGATGGAACTCATCCATTTATTGATCAATATTATGATATCCATACAAATCTTAACTTTCAATTAGTTCTTAGTCAAGCCTTGAAAGAAGATGTTTTACCAAATCAAATTATCTATACATACACACAAATCTTTCACATGATTGATTACCAATGTGATGAGATTGAAGAAATGAAACTGAATACATACAAAACGGAAGTTGAATTAACGAATAAGATTAAAGAACATTATCAAAAACAAGATCAAATTCGTTTGTTGATCATTCGTGTTGATTACCATCAAGAACATGAACATATTCTTCTATTGAAACATATTCTACTGAATTCCAAAGTTTCCCCAACTAATCGAAGTGTTTGGCTAATTTTTCATCTTCAACGTCATATGTTAAATCAAACAACCAATGAAGTTTTATTTAATGGTTGGTCAACGTTAATGATCAATGACTTGAATGAACATAAATTAGTACCGAAATCGGTTCTATTAAATCCATCTTATCATGATTTAGTCACACATCCACATTTTCTTCTGTCCGAATGTTTATTTAATGAGCTTATTGATCGTTGTTTAACGAAATTCCGTTATACAGTTACACAGAAAGATTTATTATCCAAAATAAACCTTCGACGAAATCAAATCATTGAACACTTGACCATCATAATTGACTCTCAATCGTTACGTTCAATTATTCAAGAAAATCTCTTGAAATTATTAGACAAAATCACTTTAACTCGATTCTCCGATTGGCGACACGATTTGTTAACCAACGGAATCATCATCGGTACATGTCGTTCGTTCAATGATGCTTTACAATACATCATTTCACAGTACTACGAGAGTTATCTTCTATTGCTGCTGTATCATTTCGAAAATGCGTCATTGATCGATGCATTTTTCTTCCTGTGCAAGAATCGATCAAGCTATCCATTGAATAAGATTTGGTTTGATTGTTTAAACTCCATTTTGAAGACAATCGATACAACGATCATAAATCTCGAAGTGATTGAAATGCCACTGATATTCGATTTACATTTACCATGTGCAAGAATGGAATATGAAAACATTCGTTTAATACGACAGAGTATTTCCGAACGACGAGAAGAAGAAGATTTGAACGAAGAAGATTTAATTGCCAAAGCAATCAGGCAACTACGAACCAAGAGCATCTACAGTTCGAACTTGGATTCAATATTTACTGATCCAGATTTGTTTAAATATTATTATGATGATCAGCTATCATTGATGCTTGATGAAGCTAAAATTTATCAATTACCATCAGCGTTTGTTCAACGTTTACTCTTGACAAATCCAATGCGAACGCTTGATGATCGATTGAAACATCTATTGATTGATTACAATGAATTGTTTGAAATATTGAGACTACTTGAAATCAGTACGAAAGTGATCAATGAAGATGATTTCAATCAATTATTCACTCAACAATTTATCGTACGAGATGACACAAATACGAAATTCCCTAAGAATGAAAGTGTATTCTATACTCTTATGTTAACCGGCGAACGGTTTTGTTTAATACCACCAAAATCGGAATTAGTTGATCAAGAAAGCTTTCAATGCGATGGTGATCCATTCATTGAAGTGAGTCTTATGAATTTGATTGAACTCCTTGTTCTACCATTGACTATCGATCGCGTTCACAATATTGAACAATTAACGACAACATACAGTCTTGTTGCGCAAAGTATTCTCGGTTTAAAGCATTATTCGGTGAACAACCTAGAAAAACTACGCTCATTCATTAGTCTCGTACGTTGTATCACAACAATAATACCAACAAACAATGCATTGAGTGTTTTCAAAGAAGCCATTCGTTACGCTGGTTTCGATGCCACATTCGTAACATGCGATGACATTCATAAGTTTATTACACAACTGGAACGAATCATCAGTGCAAATGATAAAAATGCCAATCAAACCGTTGTACAACGAACATTATTGAAACTCGAAAGTGAATTCTTGAAGAATTGGCTAGCTGATCATAGTGATGAATATTTGAATATTCTTAGTTTGATGAGTAAATCCGATAATAATCTTTGGCAATATTCCGCGAAAATTTTCACATACATCGATCAAGAACTTCGCTTGTTGCCGATGAGCCGGGATTCTCATGGGCAAATGCCAACGATGGACAATTATGAGTATGTCAACGAGGATCTAAAAGAATTAAGCAGTGAATATCAACGATTAGATAAATATCTATGCAAATTGAATGATTCATCGCGAAAAATTGAACATATTATGGCTGCACGTATTCATATGCTGTTGATATTACCCATAAACAAAAAAGAATTGATTGAAGACGTTGTCAATTCAGAATTCGCTCACTTCGAAGAGAACATTCGGACTATACAAAGTATTTCAAATGATTCTGGCATCACCTTGGTTTGTTTGATTGCTTGGGTGAAGTATTACGCACAGCTCTATGCTTTTATGCTCATTAATGATATTCATCATTCGATCTTGGAAGATATTGATAAATTATTGACTCGAGATGATTTTCTTTTGTGTTCGACGATTAAATTGTTCATTATTAAACAATTATGTCAGATGTCGAGCATTAAATTGGATGATTTACGCAAGATTATCTTCAATCGAAATGTGACTTGGCTAAAACCAATGATTGCAATCTCTACCGGTCAGAACACACACGACACACGGCGTATTTTCACTCTGCCAATACCACTATTTGAACATCACCAAGAATTTGTTCGTATCAGTCGTATTCTTACTCAAGATGCCGCCAGAGATAAAGTTCGGAAACTAATTAATGAATGTCAAACGAGTCAATCGACATTCTATTGTTTTCTCATTTGGTTTATTCATTACTATACGCGGTTCTATTTAAATGATGACCTTCAGTCGAATGATTATTATCACGAATTAATCAAAAACGAATTAAGTCAAGAAGTAATTCATTGTTTTGAACGTATTGGATATAAATTTCTCGTTTTGCTATGTACAAACTTTGACAACACAAGTTATTTTCATTTACATCCGAAACTGACTACAGATGAAGTGCACCAACGTTTAGTAGCACTACATATCGTTGCACTTTTACTTTCATACAAAACTTTAGCACATACGTCCTATTTGAGTACATTATTCTTCGATGGAAATTTGAGGACGCCAGAAGATTATACTACTCATTTTCAAACCTCTGTTTGTTTACCTGGACTTCTCTCGAGTAATCCAATCATTACTCAAATGATGGATGTACGCACAACAGTGAAAGAACGTTTAGACCAGGGTCAGATCTACGAGCCCGGAAAGTTTGTTTTTCGCTGCTCCGAAGAGTGCGACTGGATGTTCTTTTTTATTAATTGTGGCGTACCTGTCGATCAAAGTCAATGTCCAATGTGTAAAAAGCAAATCGGTGCCGCACAGTATGGCGTTCTTATTGAACGTGATCCTCCACAAATCCGAATGAACATTGAGGACGGTTTTCAATTTATAAACAACTATATCGAGAAATACAATAGAACTCCACGATATGGATACCATAATCTAACATCAGCAAAGCAAAGTAACGAATATGAAAAATCTGATCATTTAAATCGATCGATCTCATATCGTTTTATGCACATGATCACTCATGCATCATTACTTTTCCTTCATGAACTGTCCTTATTACCGAATTTAAAACTTCCGAGTCCTGATCATTTTCAAGAACACTTTGAAAAAGATTATTCTCTTCTTCGACATCAAATAACTGATAATGATCAATGTTTTATTTGGTTGTACAAATTAATCAACCATATGCTGGACAAAAATCTAATTCTCAAAGGTTTTATGAATACTAATGAGAAAGTCGTACAATTGGAAAAGCTTCTCGAAGAGAAAGTCCTTTTCAATCATATCGAATCAGTTGCCAATGAAATTAATCAGTATAAAACGGCATATGCCGAGTATGTTCGACAGCAAGATGCCGAAGCAACGTTGGGTGATTACGTTGATGAAATTTTTCAAGATGAAAGCATGTATCCATTATTAACTTTCTTCAACGTAACCAACATTTACACATCAAATCCAATCATTGAATTTCGCAACAAACTTCAAACAATCCCGTATGGCGACGAGATTTATCCTGTGACAACATTTCTCATGAAACGACTAGTGGATTATGCTAACATTCAACATTTGTATCCTATCGTAGCTTTTACCAACTATCTCATTGAAAAGTTTAATCATCGTATCAAACGCAATGAAGCTTCCGAAACACCAATCGCTTACTATTTAACGCACGGTACTGATTGTGAGACGATCAATGCATTATATGAAGACTTTGTTCATGGATGGTATCACCTTAATTTCACTGAAGTGCGCTACGGTTGTCAAACGGCAAACTTCGAGTTACCAAAAGCAAAGGAAGATTTTGCTACACATACTAAATTAGCGATGGTCTTATTGAATACGACCAAAGACAATAGCAGCATCCTTTTAGCTGGATGTTTACGAACTATCGCTGAATTACAGAATGAAATTGTTCACTTTTTTCATAATCGAATTCTTAACGACGGTAGCAATAATCGATATCAAGAAAATAGTATACCAATACAATCCATTCGACCAGAGCACACCTTGTATTTGGACGAGAATGTTATTAGCACAAAACTGATTACCGATGGATTCACTCTTAATTATCAATATGGAAAAAGTCAAGACATCATCTATGACTTCGAAGAGATTGAATTATTTTTAAGAAATATGATTGGTTGTTTACCATTGATTGATACCGAAAAATTACGCTTTCTGAATTATCAATTCGAGCTCTACAGCGAAAATACAGCATTGATCAACGATGTTCGTCAACGTATTAAACAAGAACTTTTCAAAGAGAACGATCGAATGAAATATAAGAATCTGATTAATAGTATGCAAAATGATGACATGCTTCATTATCTTGGATCACTTGATTATGTTTTCACTTATTTACGCAACATGGACGATGGGACAGCTGACGAATCAATGACAATTCAAACATTTGTAGAGAAACATATTCGCACAAGTGCTTGTCTCAATGATCATGTTCTTCAACGGCCCCCATTTGCTACGATACATCTAAAATATATTATCGATCTGTATGAATTAATCGAAGAGAGTGTTTTTGATCATGTTGTACGTCATTATGTCAAACGAACGTTAACTGAAGAGTCATTCGATGTTGCTGAACGAATCACTCTGGTTAAACAATTTAGTCAGATGACATTCAAGAAAGAAACAATTGCACTTTCACTTCGAGACATTCATGTATGGATTGCAATTCTCAAACGTTTAATGGTACGTGTCCTATCGAATACCAACGTTGCTCTCGATGTGCCAATACAAATTTATCTCGAACGAACAGATTTGTGGACTGGAAATATCACCGAAGGTGATATACAAACATTTGAGGTTACTGAGCAGATACTTCTGCAACACACTTACGTTATTTTGAAAGGTTTGGAAACTGAACGGGACAAAAGTCTTTTAGTAAATCATTCCGACCAGCAGACACCGCCTCAAACCGATCACTTGCAAAGTTCTGAAACGCAACTGATCAGAGCGCAAACGTGGCATAACGACAAAATTAGTGATGTCCGTACCACAATACGAGTGATAAAACCAGATCAAAATCCCGGCAAGAAGAGACGTGTATAATCGATAAATGAACATTTATTACATTTCAGTTTCTTTCATTTTTCTGTTTTGATATTCATTATAAAAATAAACTAGAAAAGAACTTTTTATAACATTTTCTATATGTTAAAAGAATTAATCATGTATAAGAAAATAGGTTGTAAAATCTATCACACTTAAAGAATCAAGGTGGTTAAAATAACTGAAAGTGTTGCCGCTACCAATATATGTATGGCCAAGAGGACATTTTTTGATTTTCGTTGCACTGACGTCTCTTCGTGATTGTCGACAGTGAATGAAGTCAATTTTGGAGTCGCAGAATTTTCTATCAAATCAGCAATTGTAGTATTCGACGTATTGATATTCGTGTAACCAGATTCTCGATTTTTCTTCCGAATAAAATATTCACTACATTCAAAGATCAGAAATATCAAAGCTACCCAAGCTATCCAAGCAATCATGACAAATCGACCTTTCGTATCTGCAAACACATGGAAATAGGTGGCAAGATATAACGTTGCAACAGAGAGAATGAACGCTGAGAATCCAACAAATGCATGAATATAGTTAAAGATAGATCGATACCGACTATTGGGTTCACAACGGAATAAAGCAATGAATGGTTGAAAGAACGCTAGACCGATCACAATTACGCCAGTGATTGAGTGAGCATACGGTCGTGTTGTGCCGTTTGGAACCCATGTACCTTGTAAAAACACCAAAATGAACAGAAAACCGAGCGTAGTTAGAATAGCTGCGATGCTCATTAGAAAACGATGCGCAGTAAACCATGCAGCTTTGCCACAAATCATTTTGTTTGCCCAAGAAGTTTTAAAATAACGCGAAATCAGGGCGCCTGTTGACACAATTAATATCCATGTGAAAATCATGATTATCCCATGAGTACGTACAAAGGTTAAGTCAGTTTTCACTTCGGGTATTCGATAAAGAATAACTTCATTTTGATTTAATTGAACAGTATCAGATTTAGCTACACGAGAATCTGCCGAGTGTTTCTCAGCATTGTCTAAATATCCATTTGTCATTACGATTAGAGTTTGTTATAGGCAAAGAAGAGCTTACTATCTTTATCGAGTACTCCCATAGCGATTAGTGGATGATATTGTCTAGATTGAGAAAGTGGTTCAAGCGTTTGAACTTGTTTCAATATTTGAGTGGCGAAATTCGATAGAGTAAATCGACATACAACAACACCGTCAGTGAATTGTTGTTGCCCTGGTGTAAACACTCCCCCTGCGTCTGGCTGAGGACGTTCAGGAGGATCGTGATCGCCTGGATTCACATATCGATTAATAATAATTTCGTCATTAGCCAGTCGTTTACACATGAATACATGTGCTTCACCCTATAGAAATAAACAATTTTGGGAACATCTCTTAATCAATACAAGTAAGTCTTCGTTATTTACCATTGCGACATTCTGACCTAAGCCTATGGCAACCCATTGAGATGATTTTAAGTTACGGATAGCCATAGAAACACTGGTGATATTGGTATTACTTGCAAACGACCAAGTAACGTTAACGGTCACATCGGCAGTTGGAGATGGAGTAGTAACTGTTACTGTTGTCGTCGTTACTATCGTGGTGGTATTTATTGCAGCATCTTCTACATCGATATTAGAAGAATTCATAGACACCTAAAATATGCAATTCAAAGTAAAGAATTTCAAAAGATGAGTTGAAACTTTTTGCATATTATCAGTGAAATATTTACCCGTGAAGTCAAAATAAAATTATAACAATTGGAATAAATAGCACTGTCGTCTTCGATAATTGCTATTCTGAATGAAACGGAATGATATTCTTTCAATATTTGAACTAGCTGTTTTATACTTAATTGCAATATTGCCAACGACTGGAGTGGAAACTTGCCAGATTGCATCTGTATTCGTTATTGCCTTTTCAAATATATATATGGAACCATTGCACGAATTTTCATCTCGTTTTTTAGCATTCATCTTCCAACTTCCCACCTGAAGATGGTTTTCATCCAATGCTACGACATGAACACCATGAAAAGTTGTGTCTAATGCTGTGGTTTTAATGAAAACTAAAGGCAAACGAGAGTGTATCGATTTTCAAATGCGACACAAAGTCGAACAGACTTACTGTGGATAGGTTCGCCTACAGAATAACTTGAAGAAGAGATATTAACAGAAAATTTTGATGGACAAAGTGAAAGATCAGCTCGACGTTGTTGACGTTTGATTTCATCACAGATATTAGAAGAATTTTCACTTGAAAAGCATTTTATCCCAGAAATACAGGAAAGAATCAGCAAAGCTGCGATGAAAATATTCATCTAAAAGTTACCAAACATGTTAAAACCGGTTTTAATACATTCTCTATCATACTTAAACAATGTCTGTTCTAATCCTCTCGTCAATAGTAAGATATTTGTTCTGAAATGTGATAATGACTTGATAAAACGAAATTTCTTAAACGCCCATATAAAAAGAAAGTAATTCATCTAACGAGATAATTTAATGGATCGCCTGTTTTTTAAATATGTCTCACCGTCATAATGATAAGTATTCCGTAATATTTGACGAGAAGGCACAGAAATACAATTCTCTATATTGTTATGCTGGCTTAAACATGACGGTGCAATTTCTATGAGTGATAAAAACAATGATAATTTCAGCTTTGTTTATCATCGTAACACCGACATTGTGACTCTGATACAACGACGCAGCATTTTTGCTGCAAACCGTCTGTAAGAGCGAAATCTGACTATGAATTCTTTCTTTTAAGATTAATCGTAGTGAAACTCAATTTTTACTTCATCAGAACCATTTATATTTGATGCATACCTCGTTTTCTTCGATAAATCGACGATCTCACGTGCATTTTTCCAATTCGCGTTCTTTATTCAAATGTCCATCGAAAGATCATGATCGAAAAACAATAATGAACACTATAACTATCTTCATTAGTATCTTCTTTCTCAAAAAAAACGTTTTCTTCACGTCTGAACTACCTGCATACTAAAAAAGCTATTATCTGCGAAACATATTTGACATTCTTTCACTATACACGTTCTTCTCTACAAACGGTAAAACATGCGCTGTTACCCTTTTTGTTATTTTGAGAGAAGAGGAGGAGGAAGATCATCGTCTGTCGTCTCGTAACGATTGGAGCAATATTGTTGTATGAGATGGAGGCAGTTGGAAAAGGTTAATGTCATTGGAGGTAGTACAATAGACTATCGTTATGTTTTTATTACGAACGAATCCCGAGACACAAATAGTTGGAAAAAAGCATCCTTTGTTCGGTGATTTAATAACTTTTACACATTTACTACGATCGTCTCCGAATACCTATACAGATATTTCAATAGAATTTCATCCGAATCGTACTAAACAAACAAAACAAATGAAATTTAGTTCTTTGTTATATTTATCTGGTGATAGTTCGGTGCCTCAGGTACATATTTTAGTAGTGGAGCTAATATAAGTGTTCCGATAGTCAGTAAACTAGTTAATAAGATATAGAGAATAAATAGACAACGATCGAGAATCAAAGCAACATTTTGCCAATCTCGTACGATCACATCTTCTTCTTGTGCTTCAGTTGGACGAAGAATTAAACGATTCATTTCAGTGAGAAGTCGTTTACATTCATTTAATGATTGTGGTGATGATTGAAGGTTAGATAGTGCCGATGCATCTGGATGTAGATTATTTTCACTCAATGTTGATGATTGAAATGTATGCGAAAGATTTTGTTGGCCATGAGTGGCAAGATCGTTTTCATTCAAGAATATCGCATTGTAAATAGTTGTTGCGCGTCGAGGAATTTTAACTGTGGATTGTTGAGGATCTTTTTGATTATCTAGTTTCGATCCGCGATGTAATTTAACACGTAAAAAAGGTGCAAAACGAGAAAATAATATACGCCGCAATCGTGTCGGAACTGGTTTTAACGATGAACCATATAAATGAACGTTAAGTATAATAACAGCTAGTAAAACAGATAAACTCGTTAAGCTCATGACTAATGTAAAATAAATACCTAAAGAAAACAAACTAGAAGTTGTTTTTTCAAATTTGTATCACATCAATGATATTACTGATTAGCGGAATGTATTCACTCGTCGCTGGCATCGATTCAGCAATCAATAACATGAAAACCGAAAAAGCGAGAAGAACGGTTAGTCCTAAAGATACTTTTTCACCTGATTCTGTCGGTAAATAGAACGTTAGACACGTGAGGATCGACAACATGATACAAGGTATAATAACATTGTACGTATAATATAATGTTCGACGTCGTATATGGAAATAGAATTTCAAATCGAAATACGACTCATCACAACATGGATATGTTAATCGAGATAGAATAGTCCATGATGATAACAATTTCCATTCGCCTAGCAAAATTAAATCGATTGAATTCAGTAGAAAGAAGGATATTTCAATAGAATTTACCATTGTCAACATAATTTAACATATCAACATTTTCCGAACGATTTGTTAGGATGACTTGTGTGGAATCGTAGGTCCATGAACCAAATTTTAAAAAGCATAATTGATCATCAAATGGAAACCTATTTGAACACAATGATGCATACATTGTCTTCTACAATTTCTACGAAAATCTTTTTACCAGGTTATTCCAATTTTACAAGTTGATCGAAACTTCACAATCGGAGGCCAAAAGACAGTTCCATCATAACTGATCATTGCCAACGATTGCATATACCCTTGTGTATAATCATCAGCTGAATTATATAACACGATATCAGGCAACCAGATGTATCGACAGGGTATTCGAATCTTCTTCAAGCCACCGAAATCTGATGGATTCCATGTTAGTAATTCATCTGTCCATTCCTCGAATAAACATTTTTACAAACTATTTGAAAGTTAATCACAGATTTACTCATACTTGATCAAGCCAAATATTAGTTGTCATTATTTGATTACGTTCATCCTATAGATTTGTATACAAAATAAACTTAGCCTAAGACGGTCTCATCTGATGACTTACAATGTCCATAATCTGTGTTAATGTTATACCTAGTTTGACAACGATAGCATCCGAAGCTTTCTTAGTTGGTCTCACCGCTCTTTCATAGCCATTCATTAACGTATAGAAAAGACGTTGCTCATCAGGCATACTACGAGTAATGTTATGCCTAGCATTCGTCACCATCGATGCCCGAGATGGAAGTGTGACAGCTGCAACAACTGAATTGTATTTTCGATCATATATAGATAGATATAGAAAACTTGCGAACAGGAAATTGATAACGGATGGATTATAATATTGATTCCACGCTATTTTTATCGAATACATAAGATCAATTTCATATCAATCATGGTCTTAAATCTGAATCACGGTTCTAATTGGTTGAATGTGTATATGTCAACTATCTGAAACAAAATGAGAAAATGTTATTATCGAAATGACTTTTCCTGCGTCTCTTTCTTTTTATTTCCATCAAATTACTTTGAAAAAAAGAACTGACGATCAAGAGATGCATATGTAATTTCTCGTTTGATGTGTTAACGGAACTGTTTCATTGTTAAATTATTCAAATTAACATCATTTCTATTGGACAAAAGCTTTCTATCCTCAGGGAACGATTGCTTTCGTTAATTCTCATGTAAAAAAATTCGCAATTCTTGTCGGAAAAGTATCACTCTCCTAACCACTGAAATCGCACGTTAAGACAGATGAAGGAATAGACAAGTGACATTTTACGCTAGTATAGATGCACTGACATGGAAGTTAACCCCAGCATCAATACTAATTCTGATAGAACAAAAAACAATCGAGGGTACAATCAGGATGATGATACTGACTGATAGTGGCATATTAAGACCTTAATTTACTTAAAAAAAAACGTTGCTTTTAGATAATGGGCAGTGTTAAGAATGATACTTTGTCTACATGAGAAACGATGATTTCCAAATGCATTTGTCTTTCACTACTTTTGAATGGTTTTCTCGTTCAGTAAATGTCTACAGTATCGATACATGCTTACCTTATTGCATTATATTTTTTTACAATTACACATAATTTCAAATCAAACTATAACAAGGAAGTACATTAGGATTGATTATATTTTTAATAGACAATTATTACATAAGCATGCTATACTATGTTTCAAAATAGAATAAAAGAAGTTTTCGGTCTCGATAACCTATGTTCTCAGGAAGTAGTAATCCGGAAAAAGATATTTTTCTATCCGTACGCTGAACAAACGGACTTTTTCGACCAAAAACAGACACCGCAAATGAATGTTAATATCTGGAAGTGAAAAAAAGGAGCTCCTAGACGATTAGTTGCATGATGATAAGTCCCTGTATGATGTGATTACGCACGACCAACTGAACGAGGAGAAAAATTGATTTTCCAAGTGAACATCAAAAACATAATTCTCTTTAGGGTTATATCGAGCATTAGTTTTGCACTGAATTACATCTAGTCATTGTTGTCATGCTATATTAGACATTTTATTTCTCAACTGTAATCGTGTTTTCTGTAATAGGTCTGGAATATCAAGTAGAGATTTAGTTAATGGCATTTATATAGTATAAGTAGAGTGAAACGAGAAAACGCTTGATTCATTTATGTAGCTACTGACATTTGTACGCAAATAAACTAGATTTCCGAGAGAGAATTTTTGTTTGAACTTAGTGGGACGGTTCATGGATCAACTTACACGGTTTTGTTGGGGTGATCAGACGGAATAACAGAATTCATAGATCTTTTGATAAAGAAAAGAAGAAGATTCGATCTCTTTCGAGATTGAATTAACTAATTTTCTTTGATTGTCACTTAATGATCAACAATATATATAAAGAATACTCATACGAAACCGAGTAGAAGTAGGAGGATCAATGCTCTTAGATGATATTTTACATAAGGAAATGATCTTGTAATTAACTTAGTCATTACTTTATGTGATCATCGTGCTGTCGTCGTCTTTGGGCTCATAGACATGCTCTGAAACTCTATTAGAATGCGACAGTTTCCCAAATTCGACAAATAGATTCATCCATCCGTAAAAAAGAACGAAGATTGTTCGGTTGACAAAACATGATTTCATATGTTCTTTGCTATACCAATGATTTCGTCAGTTCAATTTTCTTCATTTGATTGTATGTGATTTGTACTTTAGCGGAGAATAATAATAGCTACTGTAATTCGAAATATAGTTCTGTACAGGATACGAGATTCTGCTTGTCAAACCTAATCAGATTCTATCGATAGTGTAATCAGAATGAGAGAAACTTCAGCGAGAAGAGGAGCTAACGTTGGCCTTCAATATAGATTTTCATATGCCTGAGAAATTCGATAAAATGCACATGAGTTGGCGTCGGAAGATGTAGAATTTGACTCTTTCGGAGTACGATGCGGGTTCATGAAGATCAGTGAATTGTTTCATGCTTAAAATCAATTAGTATGAACGTTTTTATTTCAGGACGAAAATAGACTCACAAGAGAGAATGACCATTCGCGCCACTCACACTCACACGCAATTCACAGCACCAGCAGCACACATATAAGTAGAAGAAAAAGAGTTAAAGTAAAAGAAAAATGATGAATGGCGATCACTTAATGAACTAGTTTGGTGAATGAGAAAGAAGAGAAAAAAAAATAAAGAACACAGGGAGATTCGAGAATGATAAGAGGGAAAAAAGACAAAAAAATAAACCACCGGTACGTTTGACGAAAAAAAAAGAAACCCTTCTTCTAACATAAGCAGAGAAAAAGAAAGATCACAGAGACAAAAAAGTACGACCAGCGTCATCTTCTTTTAGTGTAGTACATGTCGCATCTAACCAGAATAAATCGTACAAGAATTTACCTAATGTAATGAAAGAGAAAGATATGTCTGTTTAACAGAGAAGGAAAAGAAAAAAGGGAAAGAAAGAGAAAGAAATATCTCACCGCACCATCACATTCTCTCCTCACACACAACACACGCACAGAAACTTGAAAGGTTTGGATATCTCTCTTTTGTTATTTATATATAA